TGATTGGTAGCGACAAAACAAAACGATTACACTATTGTCATTTTTTATATATGATCTATTTCCATATTTAAATCATACAACTTTAATGAAGAACACCATGGATACAACGATAGAAAACACAAACAGCTCGCCTGAAGTTGAGGTAAGAATTATACAGTCGAACCCCCCTATAACACTGTTGATTATTCCGTTTTATATGAATTCCATGTTGTATGAGTCACTTAGATTTTACAAATACATGTGCCGGGCTGTGAACGGCTCACGTATTTGTAAAATCTAAGTGACTCATACAACATGGAATTCATATAAAACGGAATAATCAACAGTGTTATAGGGGGGTCGACTGTTATTTACATTTACATAACTGTTAACATTTAAAGTGTATTTCTACAGATTAAATATATATTCATTGTAATGAGTCTAAACGACGTATCACCAAGATTGTATTACTTTCCCGGTGTTATATAGACATAACACGGGAAAGTACTAAAATCAAGCAATGTTATGAGGTTTTAAGTTGTAATTAAGATTATAGAAGGTATTTTCTAAATAAGTTCTAATAATACCCGGAAAAGTTATGCAATTCGTTGCTGAATATTTTTGATAGGAAACGGCGAAAGAATTTCAAGACTTTACAGACCTTATCGGTACATTTGGAAGATGGCAGAAGATTTTATTAGGGGTAATCGCGTGGTCTGCCATTGTTATGGCATTAAACAATTTAAATTGGCCATTCTTGGCGTACAAAGTGGATTATTGGTGCATGAGAACACCGAAATACATTAACATGACTATGGAAGAGTGGAAAAATATCAGCGCACCTTTGGAGATCAGAAACGGGAGAACAACACATAGTCGATGCGAAGTATACGATATTTACGATACGAAATACGGAAAAAACTTTTCAAAGATTCCTTGTCGCTCGTGGGAATACGATAATTCACAATATAAAAACAGTGTCATTGAAAAGGTAACAATGAAAATTTTTCAATTATATATATATTCGATGATTGATTTTATTTGAAATTTTCAGTGGAATTTAGTTTGCGAAAGTTCTTGGTTGAGTTCTCTCGCTGGCTCTTCTTACTTCGTGGGATTCCTCGTGTCGGCTATTGTATCTGGTCAGATATCCGATAAGTATGTAAACTTGTCTTTAATTTCATTAAAATGTTTTAGTTTTAAAATACATATTAATTATATCAATATTTACGTAGATATGGCAGAAGACCAGTGATAATATCGGGAATCGCGCTTCATGTAACCTTTGGGATTCTTTGTACATTTTCTCCATATTACTGGATGTTTACTGTATGTCGTTTCTTCTTATCTGCAGGAAAAACAGCGTGTAATCTCACGTTTTACGTATATGGTAAGTCATAAATTTAATTCAAACAGTAAATCAAATAACAACGTACTTTGGCAATGTTCACATATAGACTACAATATAGACTAAATGACCTAAATGTTTACGTCGAAAACATAAAATCGTAGTGACGTACTTAGTGTATTTTAATCTATATATATATATATATATATGGACGTGTTTGTGCCTATACGTCACTCTGCAGCCAAAACTACACATCGTACATGAATGGTGTTTGCGTGTTGTAGTAGCCCCAAGTCTTCCATCGTGCACTAGGGTGGTTGCGTCTCGATAGCTATAAGGGTGTGAGAGATATGGGGTTTGAAAGTGGTTGACTTCAAAAATGTGTAATGCTTCAATGAGAATATTCCAGTTTTTTCTAGAAAATTCCAGAACCCAGAAATGAAATTCGGTACACAGTTAGGGTACGTCATGAAAACGCACACTAAGAAGGGATTTTTTGAAATAAAACCCCCGGGGGCGAGGGAAAGCATTAATTAAATTCGAATTTGTTATTGCATATTGGTTTGATTATAGAATGATTGTAAACGTTCCAAAGAATTCATCAATTTAAAAAGTGTTCCTTTGATTCTCAGCAATTGTCATCATTCTCGGCGAGAGGTATTATACAACAATTACTATGGTTGTTGAAATACTGAATGTAAATAGGGTTTGCTTGCAAAATCCGCTCGAGCGAAGCCGCGGGTAACAGCTAGTGTGTTATAATTACAAATTTTGTAATTCGCCAGTTCTGTATTATTCTATTGTATGAATAAATTTACTTTTAACAATTTTAAGTTGTTCCAATTAGGAAAAGATAGAGAATGCTATTAATACACATGGATGCATTAAAGAATAGTTGAATTGTTTCTATCAATATACTTAACATAAAAATTCTCTGGCATCAATACGAGGAAATCTCATATTTTCGAACAAGTACGGTACGTAAAGTTAACTTTACAGGGTCTCGCTTAATATACTGTATTAAGTTCGTGTCATTCAACTGAAATACCTGTATTTAATGCAGATTGCCGTGAATTCAATACGCACTTACCATGGATAAGTCATAAGCAAATTTTCGTATGAACATTTGTATTTAATTTGAAATTTAACATACAAATGTTTTTTGTAAATATAACGTTAACAATACTAAATTATCTTTGTGTATAGTTATGGAAGTGGTCGGACCAAGCTACAGAGAAAAGGTAATAGTAACTGAGAGTTTCTTTTATACCACGGGGATGCTTCTACTTACCGGAGTATCTTGGTTCCTCAAAGATTGGACTTATATTCAATTATGCAGCAGTTTGCCATCCATTATAACGCTCCTGCTCATCAGGTAATGTTCATTTGATATTTTTATTGTTTTTATATGTTATGAAAATATGTTTTGGATTAGTTTTATACCGGAGTCTCCGAGATGGCTGCTAACTCACGGTCGATTACGTAAAGCCGAAGACGTTATACGAAACATAATGGAAAAGAATAAAAGACACACCGAGAACTTAACCGAAATTATTGAAGAACTTTATTGGAAAATTAGAACGGTAAACCGATTTTAATAATACATAGCTTGATCTTTCTATTAAAAGACGATGATTTGAAATAATAAAATAACGATTTCTTCAAAATATTTGTAAATAATCATTTGACTGAAGTGATTTGAAATGACTGTTGAATTTTAAAAATAAAATCAGTTTGCGTTTGGAAATGGAATGAGATATAACCAATGGCGGCGGGGGTTAAGGGGACAGCCTCAAGTTTCCTCAGAAAAAGAGGCTGACGTTGTAGGAACACAGGATGTAGGATAATCCAGGTTTTTTTCACAAATAACATCTGTCGAAAATGTGTTTCTAACAATATATTTTTTTTACTCCTGTTGTGATCGACCAACAATGTATTAGATTAATTAAACATGTTTTTTAGTGACTACGGATGAAAGAGTCAAAATGGGGTATAAATCTTATATAAACATTTCTAATATGTTTTTGTCTGCTGTACAAAATAATAAATATAAACCGCATCTAAAGGCTTTAATATATTTTTTCGGCTGTTTTTGTCAAATTAATCGCCTTATAAAGTTCAGCGTTATTGCAATATTTATGTCGTTTCACATTTTATGTTGATTCTCTTTTTATTAAGTTTTGACTAATTAACTAATTATTTAATTAATTTTTATGGTCCTTTATGAAAAACTAGTTACTTTTGTACGTTCCTTGTCAAACTAAAAGTTGCGATAGATTTGTTGTAATCTAATTTCATTGCAGATGTATCGGAGATTTAGTCCTTCCTATTTACACAATATAATAGTAATATGGATAAATAAATAAATAAAATCAGATCATCTTTATTGCAACGTCCTCAAGATCTTCCCGACCATCCCTGAAACACGCAAACCACTCGAAAGCACGAGAGCGGGATAGGACATCATTTCCATAAACATGATTGATGAGGGCATACGTCTCTGTTGCACTTTTACCCAACTTGTAACAAAACTTAATGTTCACTTTTTGTTCAATGACAAAAGCGTGACAGCACTTTCTCACAGCAATATCTGAATGCAGTACAGAAAAAGAACGCGTTACGAAACACGAACAAATCTTTGCAGACAAGTAGCCAGATTGTTGAACTATTATGATAAACTTAGACAAGTTGCTGCACGCTGATACTGCAGCGCTACACGAACAGTCCTGTAATTAAATTGTCACACCTTGTAAATATATAATTAATATATATGAAAATCTTCTTTACTAGATACGATTTTTTCCATTGTATTTGATCTTACTCTTACAGAATGAAAATAAGAGGAAAATGAACTTTTTTGAATTGATCAGGAATAAAGAGTTACGCAAGATTACTTTCCTCATGTACATCTTATGGTAAGCACTTTTCATGAGTTTCGATATGTTCGCGTATGAAACAATTTTTCATTTATAAGAGATAATTCTGTGCTTTTTTTAAAATTTATACAAATAATAAATTGTATTATATCCCTCAAAATGAGATTATAAATCAAAACATGTATTAATATAACGGTCTTATCTTACAAAAATGANACTGCCAATTAATTAATTCAATCAAACTAAAAAGTTCACAAAACGTTTTACACGAAACTATAAGAAACAAAAGTCGTTCTACTATGAGGAAAACTTTTTAAATCTAACACTATAGTCATATTTTCTTTAGATCAATGGTAACTGTGATATTTTATCGATATAGAAAATAACAATATTCTAATAAGAGATGGAGGATAGCTTATTTCTGATAGGGATTACCTATCTGCAATAATTACAAAGTGCTTTAACCCAATGATAAGTAGATGTACTTCGTTAGTATCATATCACTAATTGTACTTCATAAAATATTTTATTCATGAATTTCTCAAGGACAATTGTACTGTAACATTTGAAAGTAAAATGACGTTTCACCAGCTAATTTCTATTCATCAGATATTTAGAAAACAAGCTGCAGATAAGTGGTATGTTATTGTGGTGTTAATATATTATAAATACTTCTATTAATTTCTGCTTCGTTTATTTATTTATAATATTAAAAAAAGAATTTTAACTATTTCAATCATAATCAGGTCAGTTTTATTATAATAATATCGATATTTCCTTTTCCTTAAGTTATTTCCTTCCTAAACTGTTTCCTTCACCCTATTTTAAAGTATAAAAAAATTCTCTTTAAGATATTTTTCGCAATAGTTCATTTTCTATTGTATTTTAAAACGATATTTTAATTCATAAACGAGTGAAATGAAGCAGTGAATGTTATATAAATCTTGTAAGTAATGCAGTAATTACTACATTTCAAGTAGAATTTAATATTTATTTTCTTGTATCCAAAATTTTTAAAAATACTTTTAAATACTTAAAAGTGAAATTTTAAAATAATTAATAATTACAATGGTAATAAACACATTCGAAAGTTTTTAGGATAGAAAACACAAACGGAGTTGTGCAGTAAATTCCTTAAAAAATATTTTTTGTGTTATCTTTATATTACTATTGTCCGTCCGGCTGTTTGTCTGTCCCTCCTTAATTTCAGGAATGAAGTTAGATATATGAACGACGGCACCAGGTATGGAAACCAAATAGGAATAACGCCCCGTTTAACTGTATGCAAACTTCCAATGCATGATGAAAGTCACTTTATTTCAGTACAATTTTTACCCAAAAGAAGTTAGATGATTCTGTTGATAATAAAAAAGTATGATGTATAGGGACAAGTCGTTACTAAGTTGAAAATTTAACTTAAATAAATTTAAAATTTCATTAAAAATTGTTCGACATTGTGATGATGTCACAATAAAATAATAGCTTTATAATTGTTTTATATAAAAGAAATTATATACAATAAGACAATCAATACAGCGATGAAAGGAACTTAATTTATATATAACCTAAATTTTTCTAAAAATTTAAATCATTATACGTTGCAATATTTTCGTTATTATTGTAGAATATTTTTGAAATTTACTTCTACACTCAAATCATATTAATATATATTTTTACGGTAGTTTCCATTATTAAACATGATACAGCTATTTTAATATTTATCCATGTACTACTTTTATCTATATATATATATATATAAATGGACATGTATGTCCGTATATTTCACTTTTCCGCCAAAACTACACATCTCACGTGAATGGTGTTTGTATGTGGTAGTAGCCCCAAGTCTCCATTCGTGCACCAGGGGGGTTGCGTCTCGATAGCTATAAGAGTGCGGGAGATATGGAGATGAAAGTGGTTGAAAGTGGCTTTCTATTTCGAATGTTTTGTTCGAATTTGTTCGAATTACATTCGAACAATATTCGAATTAAATTCGAACATAAAATTCGAATATTGGTTCGATTATAGAACGATTGTAAACGTTCCAGGAACGTTGAAAAAAGTTCGTTTGACTGGACGTGAACAGACGTTCAGAAATAGAATCGGGACAAGGTCTGTAATTAGTCTGGAAACGGGGGACCTAATTCTTGCAATCTGTGAAAACGGGTAAGATTGGCTATAATGTAATTATCTTAATCTTTACTATCGTTACTTTTTAAAAACCCAGCGAAGCGGGTCCTTGCAGCTAGATTCTAGATTACTTAGAAAAACAGTCTTTTATATATAAAAA